AAGAAAGAAAGAAAGAAAGAAAGAAAGAAAGAAAGAAAGAAAGAAAGAAAGAAAGAAAAGAGAGAGAGAAAGAAAGAAGGGAAGGAGGGAGGAAGGGAGGGAGGGAGGAAGGGAAGGAGGCACGGAGGGAGGGAGGGAGGGAGGGAAAGGAACCACAGACGCGTCCAGGTCTGGAAGGGGCTGACCAGCTCTAAGCACATCCACCTTGAACTCTGACACAGGTAATGCCAAAATGAGGCCAGGACCTGACCAAGCCAAAAAAAAAAGCAAAGGATCAGACGGGGTCCAATGTGTAGATCCAGTAGAGAAGAATGTCAGAAATTCTAAATACACAGTTGGACATCCTTCAGGCTTGTTTTAGATTCTTGATCCTCCTGATCTCTTTTACTATTGTCAACAATTGCCTTAAAAAAACTTTTTTAAAATCAACATGTTTCTACCCTTTCCTCCGTAGCAAGGCACAAAGCCTCTTACACGGGGAGTAGAAGTGGGGGACACTTTAAAGGGGCGCCCAAAGGGTGGCAGAAGCAACTCCGTTGTGGTGATGTGGAAACGAGCTTGCCAGTGACACTCTGAGCAGACGCCTGACACCCACAATGGAGCTGGGGTTTTATACATAACGTTCATTTTGGTTTCAACACCTCTGATGCGAGAGGGCTTCCAGGTCTTCACACCCCAGGTTGCAGCTGACCAACTTTCCACAGGATGCCAATAGGCTGGGAAACAGGTTTTACCTAAAAGAAAGGGAAGGACAAGAGTCAGCCCCTTCCGGCAGAGCCCCGCACCCATTCTGACCCCTCCTGAACATCTCTATCCCTCACCCTCTCAGCCATTGAAAAGGTCATAGTCCCCAGCCACAGGACCTTTGAGTGTGCTGTCTGGAAGGCACAATCCACTCTTCCAGCAAACCCCCTCCCTCCCCTCAGCTCCCAACTAAGGATCCCTCCCCCAGCTCCCCACACAGACTCCCTAGAACATAATCTCTTTCTCCTTGTATCTATCCCTCCTTGCCAGCACTTCCAGGGTGTTTACACTAGGGGTTGGAAAACTTCTTCTGTAACAATCCAGAGAGAAAATACTGTAAACTCTGCAGGTCCCGCAATCACGGTGATAACTCCTCAACCCTGCTGTGGTGGTGGAACAGCAGCCACAGCAAGAAATGCTTGGCCATGGCTGTGTTCCAGTAAAATCTTATTTATAGACACTGAAATTTGAATTGCGTATTACTTTCTCTTGTCATAAAATAGTATTTTTCCTTTAGTTCTTTTTCAACCATTAAAATGTGAAAATCATTCTTGGCTCCTGAGCTGTACAAAAACAGACAGCGGGCTGGATTTGGTCCCTGGGCCATAGTTTGTTGACCCCTGGCTTATGTATCTGATTAGCATTGGTCTCTTGCTTAAACTGGGAGTTTGAGACAAAAGCCACGTCTAAGCTTCCTTACCTTTAAACCCCAGGCCCACACCACAGTGTCAGACAACATAAGAAGTACAATAAATAAGTTTAGGCCAGGCATGGTGGCTCAAGCCTGTAATCCCAGCACTTTGCGAGGCCGAGGCGGGTGGATCACATTCTGGCTAACACGGTGAAACCGCATCTCTACTAAAAATACAAAAAATTAGCCAGGCATGATGGTGGGCACCTGTAGTCCCAGCTACTCAGGAGGCTGAGGCAGGAGAATGGCGTGAACCCGGAGGCAGAGCTTGCAGTGAGTCGAGATTGCGCCACTGCACTCCAGCCTGGGTGACAGAGCGAGACTCCGTCTCAAAAAAAAAATAAGTTTAAAAACTGAATCTGCGGCCAGGCGTGGTGTCTCACGCCTGTAATCCTAGCACTTTGGGAGGCCACAGCGGGTGGATCACTTGAGGTCAGGGGTTCGAGACCAGCCTGGCCAACATGGTGAAACCCTGTCTCTACTAAAACTACAAAAATTAGCCAGGTGTGGTGCCACACGCCTGTAATCCCAGCTACTTAGGAGGCTAAGGCATGAGACTCACTTGAACTCAGGAGGCAGAGGTTGCAGTGAGCTGAGATGGCACCACTGTACTCCAGTCTGGGTGACAGAGAAAGACTCTGTCTCAAAAAAAAAAAACTGAATCTGCTCAAGACATCATCAAAAGGGACTTTAGAAAAGGAGGGAAAATTTGACCAGTTAAAGCTGCCACCATCACCTCTTGATGTTTGATTATGGGCATTATATAATTACATGAGCAAAAATAACAAGGATTTAATAGAATTTACAAAATAATGAACTGCCTGTCATAATATTACATAATACCAAATATATTACCATATCAGGTAGCTATTTACTAGAAGATGTAAATATCCTATTTTTAGGAAATACATAATTATTTGCAGGAAAGGGCCATGATATATATAACTTACCCTCCAATGGTTTAGTAAAAACCATTCGTGTGCACACACACACATATATACACGGAAGAATCAGAAAGCAAACAGGCAAAAAACGTTAACAGGAAAATATGAGTTAAAAGTACAAGGGAGTTCCCTACACTATTTTTATTTTTGCATGAAATTTAATTTTTTTCCACATAAAAAGTTGTTTAAAGAGAAAACATAAACCAGGCACGGTGGGTCATGCCTGTAATCCCAGCACTTGGGGAGGTCCAGTTAGGAGAATCACTTGAACCCGGTAGTTAGAGACCAGCCTGGGCAACATAATGAGAGCTTGTCTCTACAAAAACTACAAAAATTAGCTGGACATGGTGGCGTGTGTCTGTAGTCCTAGCTACCCAAGAGGCTGAGTGGGATGATCACTTGAACCCAGGAGGTTGAGGCTACAGTGAGCCAATATCTTGCCACTGCACTCCAGCCTGGGTGACAGAGCAAGATCATCTCAAAAAAAAAAAACAAAAAAACCTACTCAACAGACTAGAGAAAGAGAAAAGTCTCCAGCAAGCCATGTCCAAGCTGTGCAGGAGGCTGGCTTTCTTACACTGATCCCCTGGCCCCTTCTGTGGGTTGGGGAGTCGGGGGATCTATCCTCTCAAACCAACATCTCAAAGCCCAAGCACTCATACCCCCCACTGCAAAGAGGAAGGGACTAAGGACCCCCAATGTTAAGGCTCCTACCAGGTCTGACTCCACCATCAGGCCTTCCACTGCCTCTTGCTACAAGGTCAAAGTCGAGGATGAGGGGTGGGGGCACAGGAACTGAGGAGGAGCAGTGAAGATTTCAAAGACCAAGAATCAGAGCTGAGGGCAGGGACCTGATCACCATAGCTGTGCCAGAGCAGATCTGGCCACAGCAGGCCTGTGGGCTCTGGAGAAAGCAGCCAGCAGAATCAACGGAGATGCAAACTCTGTACCACTGCCATGCTGAAATTCACCTCCGTGAGTGTCTGGGCATCCCACAGGACTGCTCTGAATCTTACGGGGATCCCCTACCAGGCTGTTTGCCCTCGCCTCACCCTCAGGTTGCTGTCTCTATCCGTGTACTTAAGAAACGCCCACATGTACACGAGGTAGGGAGCCACACTGCTCATCGAAGAATCCTTCACGCTCCTCCACAGGGAGAAGTCCACCCGCACATGGCAACGCCTGCTCAGGTCAGGCCTGGCCACTGGCTCTCTGGGTCTCTCCAGGAGATGGTAGAGCCATACCCCAAGTTTCAGCCATGTAGTTGGCTGGGCCTTCAGGCTCTCTGGGGTGACTGGGACTCAGGAACAATACTCCAGGGACAGTGGAGGGAACAGGCTGTCTCCAGAGGAGGCTGGTTGTAAAGTCCTGGCTCTCTCAACGTCATCTAGCTGTTTCCCTGTGGCCATCTATGGGCCAGAAGCTTTGGGGTTCCCCCGAGGAGTGGCTTGGGGGACAGAGGCTCAAAGCTGCCACTCACCCAACATCCCTATTCTGGCTCAAACGTCCCTGTGCCTGCACCTGCTGTAACTTCTCCCTGGAATGCCCTCACTACTCCCTGCACATTGAGCCACCTTGGGCTCACTTCCTGGTCCTCTCAAACTCATAAGTTTCACCTCCTCTGGGAAGAACTTACTGCCCCCTTCCTGGCTGCCCACAGCACCTGTTCCTTCCTCTGTGAGAGCCAGGTGGTCTTAGAAGTGGCCATGCTCAGCCAGGCACAGTGGCTCACACCTGTAATCCCAGCATTTCAGGAGGCCAAGGCGGGCAGATCACTTGATGTCAGGAGTTCGAGACCAGCCTGACCAACATGGTGATACCCCATCTCTATTAAAAATACAAAAATTAGCTGGGCGTGGTAGCGGGCGCCTGTAATCTCAGCTATTCAGGAGGCTAAGGCAGGAGAATCGCTTGAGCCCGGGAGGCAGAGGTTGCAATGAGCCAAGATCGGGGCACTGCACTCCAGCCTGGGCAACAAGAGTGAGACTCTGTCTCAAAAAAAAAAAAAAAAAACAAGTGGCCATGCTCCTGCTGTCTCCCACTCTCAACACAGGCCCCTCGAGGGCAAGGCCAGGCTTACCTAGCCTGTACTCATGGTGAAGGGAATTATCAGGCTCACCAACTAGACACACTCTAGATGACAAGCAGAGATTCCAAAAGGCCTCTCTCAGCCCCCCTTCTCATTCCCCAGAACTGCCAAATTGCTAGTGACATTTCATTGTTAAGGTAAGTCAGAAAGAGTCAATGCCGACCACCACCCCCACCAAAATCTCTGTAGGAAGTGAAGGCATATTTAGCTGCCACGGCCCAGGCTTGTTCAGATTTCCCACTGTGCTATAGGATGACACCGGGTTACAACCATCCCACACAAGGAGAATGACATGTCCCAACTTGCGTCTGGCCCATGTTTTACAAGAAGCTTGTCTGACAGGTGAAATAGCTGTCAACACAGGAGCACCTGTTGCAGCACCTGTCAGTGGCGTCCGGCACCCTGGCAGCTGACCTCTCTGTGCAGCCGGCAAGGACACCCTGGGAAGAGAACGCAGCGGCCCCACGAGTGAATGACGGAGAAGCCAGAGGGAGGAGGCCTGGCCTGTCTGTGAGTATGTCTGAGACAGAGAGATGTGGGGACACCACCACCATGTGTCAGGGAAGCCCCTGGCAGTTCTACTGCTTCCATCCAGGGACACACAAGAAAAGAACACCTGAAAAACATGGCTTGCTTTTGCAAAAGCATTGATACTTAGGATGATTTGTGTTGTTCGTCTTTCCTTCCCTCCTTCCTTCCTTCCTTCCTTCCTTCCTTGGTTCCCTCGTTTCTTTTTCTTTCTTTCCCTTTCCTCTTTGTTTGTTTGTTTGATCAGATTCCTGTTCACATAGGCTCCATCCTTGTAGACATAAGACACAAGAATTTTTAAGGTGCCCTGGCTTTGAGCGAGACACCTTAAATGAAAACTGCCCGCAGGCTGCCATTATTGCTTCCCAAAGAAACAAAAATTCTCCGGGCGATGCCCATTTTTAACACATATGCTCTGCATTCTGCAAGGAAGAGGACTGGCAGAGGTTTATTCAAACTGGTCTGGGGATGGCTTCCGATGCTGTTTCAGATAGTTACCCTGCAAGTCACTGGCTCCTCTCCGGTTCCTTCCAGGCCTCAGAAGCTCATGATGCCCATTGTTTCCATACCCACCGCCCAGGCAGCTGTCCATCTGTTGATGCTCCTAACAGTTCACCCTCAGAAGACCACGAGGAAGCATGGGGTGCTCAGCCATTCAGAGGTCCTCAGTAAGTAGAAGCAGCTGCAAGAAGTCACTGCCTTGAGTGTGTTTAGCAACTGCCATGAGGGCATCCATGG